GTATTGGAACACTTCGTCCTAGACTTTGAGAAAATATAACTGTGCCAAGCATAACCTGTGTTATGGCACAACACTTTATTATGTATTATGTAAAGACATTGACCTACTAAATAAGGAAAATATTCTGTAGTACTGAATAGTATAATAATCTATTAAAGACCCTTGGTGACCTTTGCTCTGTAATGCTCCTTTAGCGCTATCACTCACAGGCCGATTTTGAAGTATACAATAAGATAATCGCTGCTCGCGGCAAACTTCAAAAGGTAGAATTTCACTCAAGCAAAATCCATCAACAGCTGGTTTACCTTAGCTAAATCATAGCCAGCTAATTTACACTAGATACATCCACCACCTACTGCTCCATTCTGGCAATATTAGGTGGCTGACCCTGGCAACACCTACCACTTGATTCAACCTAACATATTGTTTCAATTTGATCACCCAGGCAATTTCCTGCACTACTTGGCTCGGTAAGGGACGTGATCCATGGGCTTTCACCCGAGTAAGATCCTCTACACTCTACAGGATGATTCCCTTAATCAATAAGGTCCACCGCTCCCGGGGCAAGCGGGTCACCGTAGCAACAAGGTCCACCGCTCCCAGGGCAGGCGGGTCACTTTAACAACATGGTCCATCGCTCCCGGGGTAGGCGGGTCACCCTAACAACTGAAGTTGGCAGGTGGAACGGGGTGACAATCCAACTCCCCCCCACCCCGAGTGGTACATTCTGCTCACCCAGCTAGACAAGAATAACTTGTCCCGGTGACTTGCGCCTCGTCTACTCTACTATTGACGTGATTGTAATTTGTCTGATGTCAATGATGGACAGCGATCTTGTGGCCAGTGCTCTCTTTACATTCTCTATCACAACACCCGTAATACGGGAAATTTGCAACAACACATCAAATCCACAAAAGATATGTTACCATTCATTGCTGCACTCGGTGATCATAATTATGCCTAGATGCCTAGACCTGTTGGTTATACTGTACCTCCAAGAGTACCCTAAAAATTCTAAGTGCCCACAGAAACCTCTCCATAAGGGAGTGTTCACAGACGACGTGAATCAATGTCTGATAAAGGCAGGGAATCCCAGGATGGTACGATTAACTTAACACACAGAGGCAGCACGAACAAAGTGGCTACTACTTGCGCATGTTGCAGTACAGTAGTACACAGATACTCCCCCAAACTTAAAGGGTAATTCTGCCGGTCGTTGGTCTCACCCATTTACAGTAGATGGAGACGGCCAGTACCGCTCTGTGGCAACAGGTGTACTGACGACAGTGCATATTGACGAGGCTGTCAACATCATGAAGAAATTTAGTGACAACTTAACTGGACATCATTATGGTGATGCCGTCTTGAAAAGAGTAGACTGGGCCACAACATTCGCAGCTATGAGAGGCATCAAGGTAAGAGATGGTGGTGATACCCACATGCTAAGACACGCTCCTTTGGGAAGTCTCCCGATCGTTCTATATTTGCCTAGAATTTTGCTGTCGTATCTCTATCCCTCTTCCAGCTTTAAGAAACCACGAAAACAACCCTGAAATAAACCCTTACAAATCACATCATCACGGAAAAGCCGCACATCATTTGTGAGGAAGTTGAGCAAAAGGCAGTCGCTGTAGATGGTTGTCCCTGCTGCCATGGCCAAAGAATTAAAATATGAAAGATATATGTTTCTCATATGTCCAACATATCCAACTGTTGTCCACACAAGGCAACAGCAGAACCAGGGCATCAGTTGGGGAAGAGACCTATTGCATCCTCAAATAATGCTGGTGATGAGGGGGAGGCTGAATTAGTCATAGTGAAAACCGCTAGACAATTGTCGTCGTCATGTTATAATCGTATTCCAGTTATGTGTGAAGTATATATGTGTGTGTGTGCATGTCTTGGTACTACTCCTGCACCATGCAGATGCTAACACGTCCATTTACAGGGACGTAGGTAGTAGGCAGCTACCAAACAGGGAGGTACTACCGCCTGGAAGATATTGGAAACATAATGTGTTGTCTAATGGTAGTGTAGTGGAATTCTCCCCTACAAACGCTGTTGTCGCTGAGTAGCCGACCCCGCGAATTCCACAGTGTATGCCTCGTGGTCTGGGTCAACCAGCGCCGCCATACATCACGGAGGTCAACTACTAAGCCACGCCTACCCCCGCTATAAAAGACCTGACCTCGTGGTGACCTACCTCTCTCTCTTCTTCTAGCTACAGCCGCAGCAAGCTACACCACCTCCTCCGCCGCTGCCTGGCGGCCCTCGCTCCCACCGGCGAGCATGGCGACCCACAAGCTGTCCTCCTCTGAGCACCCTCACCAACCAGCTCTCTCTACATCACGCTTGTAACCATGCTGCCTTCCCAGCACCAAGCTGCATTGTACTTCCAATATAATATGTATACAGTGAGCACATGGTGAGTTTCCTTCCTCCATCCCATCCTGAGTGTGAACCAAACATACCGTACCCAACAGTAGACCCTGCTGCCATATGTGACCAAGTGACTATCTGCCTCATTTACACTCAATTGCAGGGTTTCAATTGTTTCTCTTACTATTGACAACACGACATACATACCGTATACCGTTTCTCAAACTTCATTTATTTTCCCGTTTTTGTATTTATGTATGGTCATTATTATTATTATTTTTTGTTTCAATTTGTATCTATTTTTATTAATTATTATTATTATTATTATTATTATTATTATTAGTATTAGTATTAGTATTAGTATTACTATTATTATCATTATTATTATTATATTTTCGCCCCCAAGTCCCTGATGTGGGCAGTGACCTGTGCCCGGGTGGGCTAATCCCCGCAAAAAAAAAAAAAACTAGAAAAGTGGATGAATATCGATATCCACGAGGCTCAGCTTGCACTTGACTTTAATAGGTGTAAAACTTTCCTCTTTATGCAATGCCATGGTAGGTGTGGTACTACCTCTGCTCTATTTGGTATTGGGAAGGTAAAACAGGTGAAGGCTATATCATCACAGCAGTCCAGGGCGGCTGTCAACATGTTTGGGGAAGAACAGGTGACTTTCGTTGGTGAGAGATACAGTATGTTGCCGCCCTATTTAAGGAAGTTAATAAGAACAAATCACAAGATGAACTTCGATATCTTGTGGCTGCCATCTTACTGGAGAGAACTGTCTTCTACTCATAATGTTTGTCACTGTGAGTCCACTTTCAGGTCAACACGTGGAAGCAGCTGAAGACGTTATATACTGGATCCTCTTTGTTTAACCTTCACACTGTAGTGGATACTCTCCCCTACAACTGCTACTGCCGCTAGTCGCTGATCAGCCGATCCCGCGACGAAGTTCCTCCGATAAGCCTAGCCGTCTAAATTCGCGTCAAGTTTCTCTGACAAGTCTAGACGTCTAGACTAATGGAGGGGGGGGGGGGTCGACACCGGCGACGCTTACTTCCGGATTTACTTCCGGTGGACGTGTATATAAGCTCCCAGTTCTCGCCGTGAAGCCCATTCTACCTAGAGCCCTGCAACACGCAACACCTCCTCTAAAGAAGCTCCTGCACAGCAACTCCTCTACCACGCAGCAACTTCCCAGCACCAAACTGATTTTTATATAATATATTTATATTTATATAAGAAAACAACCATTAAGAGTTTCCTCTCTCCAACCCATCCTGAGTGCGAGACATCATAACGTTAACATTAAAAATGGTGACCCCCGGAGAAACGCACTCACACAGGATGGAGGAGAAATGAATCACTCTCCCAGTCTTCAATCGCAACATTGAAGACTGGCTTATCCACATGGAGGCAGCTCTCATCGGCTCTACAGCTACAGACAAACAGAAGTACGTCGCCCTGGTCTGTTCTCTGCCCACAGAAGTCGCCACACAAGTTGCAGAAGTCATCACCAACCCTCCAGCTGACAACAAATTCGCAGCTCTACGAGATGCTCTGAAGAGGCGTTACCAGCGGCCCGGCGCCAGTCTCCTGCAAGACCTTTCAAGTCTACCCCTCGGCAACTCAACGCCTGCACATCTCTGGGACGAGATGCAGAGACTGAACTCCCGCCACACAGACAGGTTTCCTGACACTATCCTGCGCCAGCTTCACACTCAGAAGCTCCCTGCTGAAGTTCGTCTCGTCCTCTCAGCATTGGACTACTCTACTACCTCGGAGACCTATGCAGCCACAGCAGACAGAGTATTCCATGAATACACTGCTCTGCACCATGCTGCCGCGAACAACTCAGCGGCCACACCGTAACTTTCCTCCGATCTTGTCAATCAGATCAATGCTCCCCAGACGAGCAACACCTCACAAGACATGAGGGACCTCTTACAGTCTTTACACCGCAGGATGGACACCATTGAACAGCTCTGCTCCTCCATGCCTGCTGCTGCTCCTGTTCCTGCCCCACGCACTGTGTCCTACCAACCCCAACATCCCCGTCCTGCCTCAGACCCCGCCGCCAGCCCCCAGCACAGTATATCTACCTTCTGTTGGTACCATCAACGTTTTGGTGCTAATGCTAGACGCTGTGAGGCTCCCTGCAACTACACGAGACAAGGAAGCGACATAGACTGGGATTGGTAGACGCCATAACCTCCGCCACTATCAAGCAGCACATCACACTCCTTACTTCTGACCTTGACCACTTCACTCCTGCTGCCCGTCACGACCTACTGCAAACACTACGACAGGCAATTTCTGCATTCAAGGCTACTGCCCCACGCCAGCCTTCCCATCACCCTGAAAACATTCATCCCGCACCTCCTTCGCCTGTCTGCCCACAATTGCCACTTGCAGCACCACCTCGCCCACAACATTTCTGCATACCCTCTTTTCATCCTCAGGTACCTACTGCTCTTGACTTGGACCCTGCTCCTGATGAGGATCCTGCATCCTGCCCTAATGACCCAGATACCCCACCCGGCACCCCTGAGGACTTTGCACCTGCCGCGAGAGAAGCACCACATTCCTCGCCAATACCACCTTCTCTTATCCACAACCCTCCTTCTCCCTCTGCTTCTCCCACAGATCTCGTGTCCCTAGACGGAGTCGTCACCCATAGCTGCCGAGTGGTCCACACCCCTGTCCGTTATGTCTCACATGTGGAATACAACCCTGCCAACAAGTTTCTTGCAGTGCTCGGAGGGGAAGGGGAGTATTGTAGTGGATACTCTCCCCTACAGCTGCCACTGACGCTAGTTGTTGATCAGCCGATCCCATGACGAAGTTTCTCAGGCAAGCCTATCTGCCTAGACTAGCGTCAAGTTTCTCTGACAAGTCTAGACATCTAGACTAAGGGGGGTCGACACCGGCGACGCTTACTTCCGGATTTACTTCCGGTGGACGTGTATATAAGCTCCCAGTTCTCGCCATGAAGTCCATTCTACCTAGAGCTCTGCAACACCTAACACCTCCTCTAAGGAAGCTCCTGCACAGCAACTCCTCTACCACGCAGCAACTTCCCAGCACCAGACTGATTATGCGGCCCGCGCTCGTCATTCTTTCAGTTATCCGGCCCACTGTGAAAAAAGTTTGGTGACCCCTGGCCTAGATGGAGGAGCGCGGGCCACCGGCCCCAGTCGCGCCTACTCTATCATCAACACAGGTCAGTGAACTTCATCAGGCTGTATTCAGCCCTAAAACAAGACTTAAATAGCAGTTATTACAGCTTAAAACTTTGCCTGGTGTATAAAATGAAATAGTAATGTGTTAGGGTGGGTGATAACGGCCCATCAGGCATTATTTCTGAGTCGCGCCTACTCTATCATCAACACAGGTACCACGCGGCGCTCTCTGAACTCACCAGAACGGCGGCCATTACCCACCTTGAGCGTCCCACCATGTGAGATGACTACTCCCAGCTATGCTACTCCACTGTGAACCTGTGGATTCCCGGCATACCACCACACATGAGTAGGAAAACATAATGGAATGCTTGAGAAACTCCGCTGTCGTCACTTGGAGCGACCTATAATACCAGGCGTAGAAACAGTACTGGTATGTCTCTTGGTGAAGCCCTCGTCTTTACCCACCGAGGGCGGTGTGCCAACGAGGTGCCTGATATGTGTGCCTAGAAGTCACAAGGAGTCCCATACTTGCAGGTGTGGAGTGTAACCGGGGTGTGGTGAGATGATGTTACAAGGTTGTGAGATGGTGCTATAATGTAAAATAACCTAAGGTGCTATATTCCAAACAGGTGGAGCAGTCTGATGTGTTGGGTATTGTAAGAAGGGATGACCGAGGTAAGGAGGTCACTGATTGTTATGAGCAATACGTATGTGGATGACACGCAATTAATGTAAGACGTCTGGTGTTGAGCAGTGTAACCAAAATCATAGTTGTTCTTCTGAGGAAGGCCAACGCTTCTTGTATTTTGACGGAATGCAATATGTTTTAGAAGGAATAAATTAGTTAAGACATGTTATTGTTTCACCCTTCTTTCCCTTATCGATTTGGTCAATGAAAAACCCAACCCAATGCCTAGTCCACTCTGCCCGCTACCTAACGAGCTACATACTGCCCAGAGGGGGTCTGGTGGCAGCAACCTTTAAAATTAAGACTATAGTTAAGTTATCCCCTTAGAATTAGTGACCCCCAGAATCTGGCAGTATAACGCTGCGCTTCACCTTGCACAGGATGTAAGGGGGTGTCCAATAAACTAGCCTCCTCCGGGGCAATCTGTAAAAAAAATCTGTTACGTTACGTTACGTTGAGTCCAGGGAGTAAAAAACAGCAATTAGAAACTACCGCAACAACCACAACAAACCTAGCTAGACCATGTGGGCATGGAACGTCAGAGGTGACATTTCATGGCGCCACTGGAAAACTGATGCCTGATTGGTTGTAGATTCCCGCCAAAATGTGATGTGGTGAACCATAGTACACTGGACAGAGAAGAAGCAGGTTTGATGTGGCTGAGGAAGATGGAAACAGTGGAAGGAGTTCAACACATAGAAACGACCTAAACTTGAGTATACATTATATTGTTGAATGTGTGTGAGTCAAGGAAAGTGGAGGAAAATTAGAATAGGATATTATATTTCCTGTGTATAGGATGTAATATTGTGTGTAGGATATACTATGGTGTGCAGGATATACTATGATGTGCAGGATATACTATGGTGTATTGGGCTTGAAATTTCGTAACATTATACTGGTAAAAGAACGGTGACGTTATCTAATATTCTTTGTATTGTATTGGTTAGTGTACCTCAACCCTCGTTATTGTTTGCTCACTTGTCATTGTAATTATGATTAACGTAACTTGTTTGTCTGCTGAGTTGTGAATATTCCCAAATCGGTTAATACTTGTAAACTTGTGTTTTGATTTGTTTGTTGGTACTTGTCAGATGCTTTATTTCTTTCGTTAAATGAATTTGTATTTTAATTTATTCTTAGTGTATTGCTTATTCCTTTCATTTATTAATTTCATTGGCGACCTTGTTATTTTTTACTGTTACCGGAGTGGTGATCTATGGTTTGACACAATCTAGGTCCACCAGTCCGTAACATTGTGAGGCAAGAATATCGTCAGGTGTGTACCCGGTGTCGTGCGACAAACATTCCGTGCGCAAAACCTTCCGGGGTAAATGCTTAGTTTAGGGTATTAAATTTAATTATTTTGTAATGTTAGATTAGGGCAGGTTAGGTCAGGATTCCTTGGGTTTGATTGGTTCATTTTTTGTGTTCTTACCCCACAATTTCCATCGACTTCAAAGCACTGCCCACTTTGTGCTTTCATTGTCTTTGGTAGTGAGTATGTTTCATATCCTTATACTGTAGTCAGTTTGCCCAAGATATAATGGGAATTCATTCAAAACCTTCCGTTATCGTATTTATTAATATTTTCAGTTCTCACAAATGAACCACAAATCTATCATATATCTTAGATGTCGATAATGAACATCAGTAATTGCTGAGCTCGGAAGATTTGTCGCACCGGAAGATTTGTCGCATGACACCGGCTCAGTGTGCCAGTGTGTCAGGCTACTCTACATTTACTTGTAGAAGCGGACAACTAGGCTTAACAAAACTATCTTTGTACTAGTTAGTTTATTTTGAAATAACTCGATATTAAAGGTGGCCATGCCGAAGGAAGGAGGCCAGTGGCCTGTGTAGGATCTCTCCATTGTTCTTGATAATTTTGTCGAGGACCATTTTGAAGCCCTGTACTGTACTGTTCTTTATCCCACAGCTAGGGCGGTTAGACCGTTCCATATGTCTACCAGTCTCTGTTTGAAGTATTTCCTTATGTTTGGTCTGCATGATAACTTGGCGAGCTTGTAATTATGTCCTCTCGTGTTGGTGGTGCATGGCCTCAATATGTCCTAGTTTCACGTTTTCCATCACGTTGAAGATTTTTAATGTTTCAGTGAGTTCTGCCCTGTAGTGCCTTGTCTGAAGGGTTGTTAGTCCTAAGGCCCTCCGTCTACTTAGGTAATCGTGATGACATAGTTCAGGAATCATCTTAGTGTTGCACCTTTTTTAGGGATGTTGGTCTTGCTGGAGGTAAGGTTTCCACGCCTGTATACAGTAATACAGACTGGGTTAGGTTGTACAGTTGAAGGAGACTTTTCCTATCTCAGTATTCAAAGGTACACTTTATAAGTCCCGACTCTCTATTTGCTGTCCTCACTGCTGCCCCCACCTGCTGCCCCCACCTGTTGCCCCCCCACCTGCTGCCCCCCTGCTGCCCCCCCACCTGCCCCCCCACCTGCCCCCCACCTGCCCCCACCTGCTACCCTCGCTGCACCGCCTCCAGTCAATGATCTCTCTTTATCGACAACATTCGGGGAAGCGCTATTAATAGAATAGTTATGATTAGGGTTGTATCCTACGTGTAGGGTCTTGCATATGGTAATGTTAAACCGCATTTGTCAGTCTCGAGACCAAATGGACAACTTGCAGGTCTTGCTGCATTGTTGTGACATCGTCTTGACTTGCTACTTTCCCAAATATCTTCATGTCGTCCGCAAATTTGACAATGTAGCTCGATATCTTTTCATCAATGTTATTTATGTAGATCACAAACGAGGTGGTCCAAGGATAGAGCCTTATGGTACTCCACTGAGAACCTTTTCCCATGCAGAATGTACACCATTTATTACTACTGTTTTTTTTGCCTCTATCCGAGCCGGTTATTAATCCACTTAAAAATTTGTCCTGTGATGCTTCATGTGGAAATTTGTCAAATGCCTTAGGGAAATCCATGTACAGTTGGCCAAGCTCCCACCTTAACACCGAGTAGCGGGATATAAGAAATGTGGAGAGAGTGAGAGAGAGAGAGAGAGAGAGAGAGAGAGAGAGAGAGATTTAACTTTTCTTCACAGGGTGGTGTAATGCATCTAGCGTGACAGCATTATGTTAGTGTTAAATTGCAGGCACTGCTTGTTTCCTCTCTCTTTCAGCTACCGCCGCTGAACAGGGAAGCAGCTTTGCATAAGTCTTCCCCTGCCAGTACAGAGCTTCTTCACCATCAAGACTTCTGCTGTGCCTCCTCGTGGCAATACACGGTAACTGGGTGCCCTGTGGGCCCAGGCTAGACCAGCAGGGGATCTTGGAGCAGCAGTGGGCCCCAGAGGGACGGCACATAGGCCCACTGGTATGTGGACACGCCCTGGCGCCTACCAACCACTGCCCTGCTGCCTTGTGGATTAACCTTGGCAGCTATAAGGCTACGGGAGTAAACCCAGAACGAAAAATCTGTGGTGGAGCCTCTCATCAGGCAGATATGCTTACAGAGCTCCAGTAAGACCCAAACGGTGGAATAGCCGGAAGAGGTGACCGCCATGGGAACCCAACGACTACACCGGTGGATGAAGGCAATGCAAGATGGACAGGCTACTAAGGCGAAACCCAACAAACTGGGCTATCGGCAGTCCATTGCAACTCTCTGTCTCTCCAGTTGTTGCAGCTACGTGCACCACTGAATCAGGGAAAGCCAAGATGTGTGGTTGAAGTCTGCACTCCTGCCTCGCCACATAAATTGACTTGCTCGCAGCCATCATCCAGGTCATCATACTTTCTATCATCAAAACCCTATACCCCCAAAACTCCTATGATGAGTGGCGATGGGGACAGACAGAGATGACTACCTGAAGTCTCTAGTCACAACTCTGCACATGGGTGGCATAGATAAGATGGCTGTTTATGCACTGGGAACTAGGCAGCTGTGCAATCTAGTCCTGTCTGTCTGACTGAACATCACTCACCAGGAGCCACTTTGCTCACCCCACATGGGGAGAGGGCTAGAAAAGGTGTCATAAACATAGCCTGCCTAAAGAACCAACCTGACTGTACAACTGCACCCAGTAAGGTCATCTTAATGTGGTCAAAAACATAACCACAGATCAAAGCAAAAACTAATTATACAACCACTTATGACTGCTGCATGGTATCTTAGGAACCCTTTTGGATGCTGTCATCAATGAGCATCCTGAAATAAGCTCTGTTGGTATAACCTCGACATAGCAGCCATTAGTTAGTCCCGGCTCCCAGAAGAGGGTTGACTTGCAGAACAGCGGTACAATTATATCTTCTGGAAGGGTAAGCCTGCTGCAGAGAGAAACTGCATTTATGGAATTGGCTTTGCCATTCGCCACTCAATCCTACATAGGCTAACTGAAATGCCTGTTGAGGTTAACGAGCGCTTCATGAAGCTCCGAGTCCCACTGAATTGCTCGCGTCATGCCTTCTTCATCAGTGCATACACCCAACAATGGATGCAGAGGATGACATCAAAGAGGCATTTTATGCCGATCATGACAGAGTGCTAATCTCTATCCTACAGAGAAGATAAGGTTGTGCTCCTTGGTGACTTCAATGCCAGGGTTGGCAGAGATGCTGAATTATGTCAGGGAACCATAAGGAGAAACAGAGTAGGCAAGTGTAATCCCAACGGTCTACTCCTCCTCAGCAAGTGTGCTGATCACAGCCTCACTATCAACAACACCTTGTTCAGGCAGGCCGACAAGTTCAAGGGTTCTTGGCATCTCATTGACCACAACATTATCAGAGAAAGAGATCGCCGAGATGTCCTCATCACTCGAGTCATGCGTGGCTCAGACCACTGTGACACACATCAATAGCTTGTCAGAGCCAAGCTCTCACTTCAAGTAGCCCCAAAACGGCGAAGGCAACAAGCATCCAGACACGGTTTTTCCACCAAGCGAATGAAGGATCAAAGCAGTAGAATATGATTTTGGAGAGCAGCTCGACGAATGGCTGATTAACAACGCAAACCACCAAATCCGAGTGCTGAATAGATTATTCTCAATGCTGTCATCACAAAAACCTGCAGCGAGACCCTTGGCTAGATCAAAAAGAAACGCCAGGATTGGTTTGATGAAAATGGCTAGAATATTTATGTACTTGTCAATGGTAAATGTGCTGCCTTCACTGACTGGCAAAACAACCTTCCG